ATTAACCCTTTTTTTGCAAATGAGCTATTATTTACATTGTAACTAGTTGAAAAAGCTTGTAAGAAAAAAAAATCAAACACGTTTTCCATTATACCATACAATGGATGAAATGTCCTGTGTTTGTGAAAATAGGAAGAGCTCCATTGCGAGCTATCTGAAGATACTCTAGTGTAAGATGGAGCATTAGGATGCTCTCAGATGTTCCAGTCAAAGGTTTTGTGCTTTGAAAACTAGATATCAGTGTGTCAGATCTAGCCTGGCTTTTTTTATAAAGTTTCTAATCTGTTTTGGTTTATGTTTTGACTTCAGATGTTAGGCTGAAGAACAAACACAGTGTACTCCATGAGCCTGTGTTCCAGGGATCCTGTAAAGAAAAGGAAAAAAAAACCCCAACCAAAAAACAACAAACCAAAAAACCCAAATTCAAAACAAAGACCTTCATATATCAGTTGGGAGGGAAAGAGAGCATATAAAAGGGTTAAAAAGAGGTTTGCATTTCTACCACATGCCCTATTGTGTGAACATATGCATGAGTCTATTGAAAGTTTTCAGAAGATGGGCAGGCCACCAGTTGCTGGTCTCCTGCAGTTCCAGTAGACATCTGTTGCCCCAGAGCATTAACCAATCTGTTCAATGGGACATCCCTCCTTTGTTGGATAGAATGATGCAGACAACAGCACTCACTGAAATACAATGGTAATTAAATACATAGAAACTACAGCAGTAGGTATTTATTACATATTCATTATTTTATTTGCATTGTTGCAGTATCTTTTGGATACATTCTTTTTTTTTTCTTTTCTGATCAACTCTGCACTTCTGTTTGTGCAAGTAATGAGTGTTGCAACAAACTGATTTCAATATTTTCCATTTCATATATAGAAGACTTAGAAAAAGTCTGCCTATGTGAAAATATGTTGAAGTGTTTCCTTGTAGAATGTATCTTCAGAAACTTTTTGATGGTCTTTTGAGAATACACAATTTCTCTTATACTGTGCCACATGACACACTGTTTTACTCCTTGCTATTTTCCTTTGTGAACTAAATTTGCATTAAATTGCTTCTCTTATGCTCAGTTGTAAGTGGGAAAAATTCTGAATATGCAGTAAAAGATTAGATGATCTACTTGCCTTTGAGAAATCGCATTCCTTTGAGAAATATTTCTGGTTTGTGTGAAGGTGAATCAATGGGCTGCTTGTTGATGGTTAGTGGAAAATAGTGGTGACTTCTAAGAAATGGGAAAAGATTACACTTCTACAATGTAATAGCACAATGCTTGCCTGGATTATTACATTTATACTGGATAAATGTCTTTGACACAGTATTTTAGGCCTTTAACAGTGAAAATAATGTGAGATACTGTACTTTTAAACAGGCTACAGTTTAAAGATTATGTTGTCATAGCTATGTCTAAACTGGGAGTTTAGCCACTTTACTGACTTTTTCATAAATAAAATTTCATAGAATTCTTTTACTAAACTGTGGTGTGCATAACCAAAAGTTGAAGACTTCCTTGACAGGAATTTTTTGATTACTTTGTTTTTTTGTTTGGGTCTTGTTTGAGTCAGAATTCATAGTAGATGCTTTTCTTAGCTATATTGCATTGATAAGAAAGCATACTTTAAAACCATATGTGTGTAATGAGAGTTCATTCTAAATAAGGAGTTCTTAGCTGATGTTACTCCTTGGATAAGTGTGACCTTTTCTAGTTTTCACAAGCTTCAGTGTCCTGTATAGAGGTACACTAGTGTTTATTTAGGATACAAATTCATTCAAAATGACTGGCTGACACGTTGCTGTTCACTAACCAGATCAAGATAAAATAATTGGCAGCATTCAGCAGTGACATCTGATTTTCATGGTTCTAATCAATGAATCTCATAAAGGACATCATGATGTGAGCTCCGAAGTGTAGTGTTTCTAAGAGATGCTACTGACCATGGATATGATGTACAAAGTTCACAGGCATTGTAAAAATTTTCCTGAAAATAATTGCAGTTTGCATGCAGGGTTTAGGCCAAATGCCAGGAATAGTGTACTGCTTATGCAAAACTATTTTAAAAATCTTTAGCTTTGGGTTTACAGTAAAAACATTATTTTAACTAGCCTTTTAAAGCAATAGTATAGTGACTATATGGGGGAGAGTGTGTGGGAGATGTTAAAGCTGCTGCTTTTATTATTCTATTCTTTAAATAGTTTCTGAAAAACAGTAGAGTTCTGTGCAAAATAAACAATTGTATATTGGAGCATGATGGAGATTGACAGGAGACTAAAAGCAGATAGATGTGAGGCTGATTATGTATATTTTCTAACAATGGACCAAGCTCAGTCTATGGTCATTTTTCATACGCAGTTGATGTGCAAATCATCTAAAGTACGTTTCATATAATGCCTGATCTTCAGACACATTCATATGCTAGTGACTTCTTTGAATCCCGCTGGAGGGTGTTATGCTGGTAGTTGCTGTAAAGAACTTAAACTTCAAGAAAGAAGCGATTGGAGAATGACTTAAGTATTATTTTAACTAACAGTAAAAAAAAAAAAAATCCTCTTTATAATCTATGCACTTCAGACTTTCATTATTTGATGCTGTTAATATGCAACCTCCTCTTTCCCCCCTTCCAAAAAACCCCCTCCCTCCACTTTTAGTTCAATACTAAAATGACATTTCACAGTACACGGATTTAGGCAGTGACCCATTATCTCCCTGTATTCTGCAGCAGCGGTACATGAGCCAGCTCAACTTTTCAGTCCAGCTTAAAAGTGTTGCCCATTAACTAGACTTCCTCGAGTCAGAGCAGATTGTGGGGTTGGTGGAACAATGATGTCGGGGCTTCCAGATTGGTTTGGCAGCTGCATTGTTCTCAGAGGGGAAACCAGACGCACTTAAGTCCCGCTCTCTTTCATGGGCTTTTGTTCATACCAAATTATTCTTTCGCTGTGCTAGTATTCATGATGGTATGTTAAAGGAGCGCATCCTAGCAACTAGAGGCCAGTTGCTAAGCAGCCTGGCTTCCAATAGGGGCTGCTTGTTTGCGATTTGTTTTAATTTTTTTTTTTTTTTGTGGTGTCAGTTCTGTGAAGGCCACAATGTTGTTTTTTTAACTGTATCCTTTTATTGGGATATTGTGATTTGTTACTAGCTCTGTGCTATCAAGTGTATTATCTTAGTTAATAAATCACCATGAGAAAAGGTTAATTTCCTAAATTCTTGTTGTATTTAATCTGTGGTGTTGCTTGAAATCCTAAAGCTTTGAGATAAGGCAATATTCATTAATACGCTGCCTGAGAATTACAGTCCTACTGCTTTTTAACAAGATAAGATCTAAATAAAACTTTGTTTTCTTTTCTATCAGTCCTGCCTGGATTAAGGCATTGGAGATCAAAATATTGATGATAGATTTATTTATTTTAACTAGGTAAAGTAAGTTTTTGTGCCTCATAACCAAAAATCTCCACCAGAGTTATGATGTCTTGGCAGTCAGTGCCTATAGAGTCTGCTTTTACTGAACCATGGATTTGATTGTTTGTTTGATTCTCTCTAATCTTAAGCCTGGATAAATTTCTCTGGTGCACACTCTCAAATCATTATCCTAAGAAGAGCAAGGTACAGTGTATTTTAAAAATACTGAGTCACTCTTAAATGCTCACCTGTAAGGGCATGGGAGAATTAATATGTTTTGGCTCTTCATGAGACGTACCTATAATTTGTATTAGTATAGGTCAAGAGATTCTGTTGGACATGTTCTTTCTCAGTATGTCCTCCTTGATGAAATTAGTGTCTGTAGTGTATCTATCAAGTTCAAATGAAGTCCTTTGCCTCTTTATCTTGGTTTATATTCTGCCTTGCAAGATGGAAGTGTGAAAGAACTCTTTGTTTCATAGTCTTTCCTTAATTTAAATTCTTCTTTCTTATGGTAACCCTGCAGTACAATTGGTCCATATGGTCCATTTTTATTTATGGGAAATAATTTATCTTTTACTTTATTGGAGCAGTTAGCAAATATTCCTGCTTGAAAGAACATAGTAAGGGAAAGACATAGCAATCTGCCTTTAAGTGTAGGTTGTGGAAGTAATCTTTGTGATGAACTGGGTGGCTAACTTCTGAACAATTACTGTTATGCAAAATTCCTCCAGAAAAACTGATATGGCAAGTGTATGAAGTCCACAAAACTGCAGTTTGTGTTCTTCCATTCTTCCTAAATGACTCCTATCTATATATATATAGTTTTGATTCAGCAAAAAGCTTGTCCATGTCCAAAAGTTGAAATCAGCTTTTAATTTTGTTGGCTTGATAAATGATCTGTTCCAGTCAGTGCAAAGACTTCCATTGGCTTTATTGGCCATTAGATCTATCCATGTTCCTAAATACTCTGTGCTAGTAATACAGCACTCTGTTGAGAGCAATTAGTCTTTCTTGACTTAATTATAACTTTATAAGGGAATTCAGAAGTAGTTTTGGTGTATTCACTTGAACAGATAGTGTCTTTCAGGGCCAGTAAGTTTTTATTTAATCATGTTTTCTGTTACTAATAAGCCAGATAATCTAGTGTTATGCTAATTTCTTTCTATCCAACATAGTTTAAGATATTTAGTTGGAAAAGCTTTTCTTGTATTTTATAGTTGCATTTTTTTCATTGTTATAATATAGACTTAAGCTAGAAGAAATATCTCATTGCTTTTAAATCGTGACAGACTCCTGTCTTTGTGCTAAAGTAGGTAAACTTGCATCGTTTGGTTTCGTATTCTTTCATAAATCCATTCCTAGAATTGTGTAAGTAAAAACATTTGATAAACTCAGAATGGTTAGTTATTTATCCACTTAGCTATGGATGTGCCTTAGGAAAAGTTTTTCCCACAAAAAGTTTTCCATGTTTAAAGAAAGAAAAAGGTCCTGTTTCTCTGCTGGGAGAGAATAAATGTGGTTCTGAGGAAGCAGCAAGGAAGTACAAAACAAGTAAAGCATGTAACCAGTTGCAACATTTTTGTTTTCTCTTTAGGAATACGGAACACTTTATATTCAGGAATACAAGAAAAACAACAAGGTGGAGTCAAGTACATGCAGCAGCTTCATGGGCTTGAAGGATCATCTGGGGCATGACTTAGGCCACCTTTATGTGGGGAGCACTGGCACACAAATAAATGCAATTGTACCTTGGTCAATGGTGGAGAAGCCAACAATGGATAAGGTTAATTCTAGGAAAGAAGATGTAGAAAAGGAGGCATCTGAAGAGACTTCTGGAAGCTCCAGCTGTGACTCTGAAGAAAGCACAAATTCTGATAATGATTCAGAGAGACTGAATAATTCTGCATCGGAGTCACATTTATTGCCTAAAACTCACCGAGAGCTGTGCCGATCTCCTTGCTTAGAGCCTCATATACTAAAAAGAAATGAAATCTTGCAAGACTTTAGGATAGAAGAGGCTCAGATAGTACCTAAGGAAGTCAAAAAGCCCCCTGATGTGGTGAAAGAATATCAAACCAAACTGGAGTTTGCACTTAAGCTGGGTTACTCTGAAGAGCAGGTTCAACTTGTACTCAATAAACTTGGTACTGATGCTTTAATAAATGATATTTTGGGAGAACTTGTCAAACTTGGGAATAAAACTGAGACTGATCAGACTGTAACTAATGCTAACGCTAGTGTAATACGTGAAGCGTCTTCCCTAGAGTCTCAGAGGTCAGAGTCTCCACTGCAGGAGGATGTGACAGAGGATGGTGACAACCTGAGGCCAATAGTTATTGATGGCAGCAATGTTGCAATGAGGTATGTGACCATGAAGGTTTTGCTTTTCTATTTAAATGGAAACAGAATGGTCTTGCCCCATTCAAGCACTGATGTTTGGTATAACTGCCTAAAACTGTATGCAGGTTCTCTTGCAAGCATCTTTATCAACCCCACGGTATGCCAATCTCATAATCAGGCTGGAGATCTGTGGGGCTACCTTTGTTTATACTCACTGTTACAACAATCTTATGTTAGTATCAGTCTCCGTTTGTAGGTAGCTATCAAATCTCTCCTTCCCACCAGTCTAGTCCTTAATTAATTTTTGGTAGGGACCATTGCTACAGGCACAATTGCTGTGGGCAATTGCTGTATCCAATTACATACAGAAAGCTAAAGCAAATGTAAGGTTCCTTGAGATTATAAAATAGTGATGTAGAATTCAGCAGGATAAGGGATACTTCTCCTTGGTAAGCTAATGTGTGAGAACTGATCTGTCCATAAAATTGGTCTTGATTATCAGTTGTGGAGTTAGGTTTTATTGCCATTAATTGTTGAGATTTGTGTGCTTTAGACTTTCACTTACATGCCCCCAGATGACACATTTGCCTACAGTATTACTAATCTTGATCCCAGTCATTTAGGTGCATATCAAGAACCTTGCCTGTGAAGGTGAGTGCTTTGTACTTCATCCATGATTAAAGAGAGAAGGAAACAGCAGAGAGACATGCTGAGAGATTAGGTGTTTGTGGCAATAAAAATTATTAAATGATAAATTGATTAGTAACTATTTGAGTATCTCATAAGGATTATCTGATTACTAGTACCATGGTTTAAAAGGTCAATATTAATCTTCTGAAGATTTGATGTGGTTTTCATTAGCTTAGGAATAAAAGACATTTCTTAATGCAAGACACTTCTGGGCTAAAAAACCCCTGGCCATTCCAGTTTTGTTTTTTTTTTAAAGCTTCTAAGCAAGTCAATTCCCTTTAAATGAGGTTTTTAAAAATTAAATTTAAATATGCCTCTTATTTACACCACTATAGTGGGGTTTGTTTATTTAAGCAGATGAGTTAGCCCACAAAGCAAGAATATTACTTTTTTAATAGGGGATGTTTCTGTGAGTTCTTTCTACTGGATGTGTCATTCCTTCTCTTTTTGTTCAAGTTAAGCTGTAAAGGAAGTAAGTCCAGTTGAACAAACACTGTTCTGATATTCAACCAAGAAGATACTCAGAGACTTCTGAAGTGGGTTTGTATTGTATTTCACATAAATCCAAAACAGCTGTGTAAGTGTTAGCTGGTTAGTGCAGCTTAGTCTTGGTGGGTGGACTTAGGTTCAACTTCTCCTACAAACTGCATTGAACACATTCCAGAATTAGCTCCATATCTGTCAGTTTTCCTTAATGTTCATTCAGCTATTAGCGTAAATATTTAGGACCTACCTTCCTATGCTCAATTTACTTTCTTGACACCTACATCAAATGAGCCAAATAACGAATGCAAACTATGCATGCTACAGAGCCCCAAAACCAGATTGAATCTATTAATATAACAGTTCTCTATCCAAGAATCAAATTTAACAGGTCTTTACTTGTTTTCTACCAAATGTAATCACAGAATCATTCAGTTTGGAAGGGATCACCTCCCTTGACCTGCTGGCAACACTTTTCCTAATGCAGCCCAGGAGACTATTGGTCTTCTGTACTGCAAGTGCACCTTACTGGCTCGTGATCAGCTTGGTATTCACCAGAACCACAATGCTCTTCACTTCAGCATTGCTTTCCAGTTGGTTGGCCCCCAGCCTGTATTGATGGCTATTGTCAGTCCTCACCAGGTGCAGGATGGGCATGTCCTTGTGTTGAACTTGCAGAGCTATCTGTTGGCCATTTTCTATATCCTGGCCAGGGTCCCTCTGAATGGGACTACATCCATCTGGTGTACTCCCCCACTTACACACTTGCTGATGGTGAATTCTGTCCTGTTATCTAGGTTGTTAAGGAAGATGTTAAGCAATGCTTTCCACAGTGTCAGTCCCTAGAGTACACCAATACTGATTGACCTTCAGGTGGACTTTATGCCACTAATCATAACCCTTTGAGTGCAGCAGTAGTCAGATTTCAATCCACCTCTCTGTCTCCTTGTTTGCCCCTACTTCATTAGTCAGTGAGGCTGTTAGAAGAGACTGTCAGAAGCTTTGTTAAAGCCACAATAAACAGCATCCACTGCTCCCCTCATCCACTGAGCCAGTCATCTCACCATAAAAGGCTATGAGGCTGGTCAAGCATGTTTTTTTTTCATAAATCCATGATGACTGTTTCCAGTCACCTTTGTCCAATCTATGTACAGAAAGGGCTTGCAGGAAGGTTTGCTTCATCACCTTTGCAGGGATCAAGGTAAGGCTGACTAGCTTTGTAGTTTCCTGAATTATTCCTTCTTGCCTTCCTTGAAAATGGAAGGGATATTTTCCCTCTTCTACACCTTAGGAACATCCCTAATCACCACAACCTTTCAAAAATTGCCAGGTTTTGATATTTGCAATATCATTGGCCAGCTCCTTCAACACCCTTGAGTGTATCACATCAGGGCCCAGCAGCTTGGCAATATTGCATTTCAGTGTTCCCAAAAGTCTGCTTTGGGAAAGTCTTGCCCTGTGACCTTTGCCCAACTTCCTGCACAGTGCGGTGGGCTAGTCTTGAGCTTGGCCTGGGTGATCTTTGAAAATCAACCAGCTCTCTTGTGCACTCTTCTCTCCGTGGGATTCTCCTGAACAGGCCAAAATCTGCTCTTCTGAAGTCTGGCATTGTGATTCAGCTTTTTGCTTTGCTCTTTCTTCACAGGATTCTGCCATTCAAGGTTGCTGCAGCCAAGGCTGCCCCTGACCTTCACATCTTGGACTCGTTCTTCTTATTTCTAAGTGTGAGGGTTGACGAGGTTCCATTGTTGGGTCCTCAGTTACCCATGTTAAGAAGTTACTCTCAATGCACTCCAGAAGCTTCCTGGATTGCTCATGCCTTGCTTTGTTGGTCAGAACAAAAGCATCTTTGCCAACTAACTGCTTGGTCAAGTGCATCCCACCTTTTCCTAGAAATCAGTCGTTTGTCGATTGTGGAAGCCAGTCCCATGTGTGTAAAAGGTGAGTCCCAGCTGCTGACACCAGCTGTGCAACCAGTTGTTTACCCACTGGATCTGTCCTTTCCCCTTCAAGAAAATAGCTAATAGTAAATAAGCATTTTAAATACTGGGAAGATTTCAGCTTTTACATGTAAATGAGCAATGTTCAAAGAAGTGAGGGAGATTCACTTGCAGTTCAATCTTGTTGAGATTTCTGTGTCTGAATGTCCAGGGTTCTGTTATGAGTAACTAAAAATTGTCAGTCTTTTCTTTCCTCTTTGCTCTTCCAAGCTGTGGCTGATGAGTTCACTTTGGAATTGCTTAAGGGAAATGGGCCTATGCCCTAAGAAAGACTGTAGATAGTTGGAGAGATGTTCTTGGAAGCTTTCTTATATGTTCTCACAGGAATAGTTAGACTGTGATTTATATTCTTACTCCCGCTGTTGTAATACACATACTTGATTTTTCTAAGTAAGAACTACTAATTTTCATTTAAAGGATGTATTTGATGGGGAGGGGAATTTTTGTAGAGAAGGTTGAGGTGACTGATTCCAATAATGCAAGTAGGATGAGGCAGCTGTCCTCTTCTGGAAGGATCAAACATTGTGCTGCCCTGTGTCTCCATTGCATGACTAATTAAGGATGTAGTTTCACAAAACATCCAATGATTATTTTCAGCCTTACCTCTATCCCACTACCAGGGATGCTTTCCTACCTGCATCTCATCTAGTGACTACATGGCTGCAAAATGAGTTGATTCAGCATCCCAGTTCAGAGGGGCGAACCAGAAAGGGTTATTTTCCATTAGACACATAAACATAACCTGATGTTTTTGTCAGTGGGAGAACAACTAGGTCTGACTCAAAGGAGGAAGGATATATCTGATTATGTGATTGGATATTCAGATTTGTGTAACTGGTTGCATCTAGTCAATTGATAATGAGTGGATTTGTGAATTCCTTGAGAGCAGCACAGAATGAGGCTTGGAGCAGAATAACTTCCTCTGGCCAAACAGAGCCAGCATGTATGCTGGTCTAGTCTGGTGACTACTCCCGTTCCAGACAAGCTGCTTTAGCAAATTGTAGGTTAAGAAAAAGCTAACACTCCCAATTTTTCTGCCTTTTGGTAATGCTTGGAAAGCTTTTCTTATGCTTTGAGATGGCATTGCTTGTCTTTTGTGCCTTGAACTGAAATTGGGTTATCAAATATGTCTGTGTATTTCAAGTTTAAAGCTCCAAGATGGTCTAAAAATATGAATATGTTAAAGTTTTAAAAACAAAGCAAACCCCCTCTTTCAACGGAATAGCAGAAAGGGGGCTTTTGCAGGCTATGACTTGAAGAATTGCTGTTTAGTTTCTATAGGATACTTAAACTCTGGTTTTGTTCTTTCATTATTCTGGCTTTCCTAGTCTTGACTTAATCCTTTTCCAGAAGAGGAAAGATGCCTGCACATTTGAGTCTCACACACACAAAGTCTTTTGTTAAAATTCCCTTACAGATGAGACTGATTTTCCATGTGTGTGTGCATAAACTTAAAATCAGACCTGAACAGCAAATTAAATAATCCCCTAGAGCTGCTGTGGAACTTCTGATAGACTCTTCCCACAGCAAGGAGTGAGGCTGTGCTAAGGAATAGGACCCAGGATTCAGTCATGCCATACCTGAGCACTGACCTATATGAGCTTTCCTGACAGGGAACTGTGTAGCACTAACCCTGCTTCATAAGGTGGGTTGGTTTCTTGCATGTAGATGATGATGTTGTAATGCAAAATCTTCATTCAGAGCCTCAATCCACGTGAGTCAGAAAGGCATTTGTCCTCCATAAAAATGCATTTAGGACCTTATTTAGTGTTGGCTGCACAGCATAGATAGTAGACAGGGGACACGTTTCAGTGAATAGTAGTTCCCTGTGTGATGAGATTTTAGCTA